TAAAATTAAAATTGTCTCTACCTGTAGCGGAGAATAATGTTGTGGCAGGGCTTTGTTCAAACGATCATAGCAAATGTTGTGATAGGCATAGAGACATGCGATTTTTGGTTTTACAAAGATAATACGATAGAAAATAATACAAAGTAATAAAAACCACCCGTTATAGGGGCATTTTTTGGAGAAATTTATCAAATAACCAAAAAAACTGTATAGTGTGAGTCACGTTAAAGTGTACATATGAAAATAGATGAAACTAGACCTATTTTTATCGACAAAAAAGAGGTCATAAAATTTTTGAGATTTTTTTTTAATTTTTTATAGAATTTTTTTTCTTCCAATTACGTATTGTAAAGAAAACGTAATAACTTTTAAACTAAGCGGTATATCCTGATAAAATAAAAACAGTGATAATGTTAAATAGCAGGCAATATTAAAAAAATACATAAAATACACACAAATTGCCAACAAATAATAAAAAATTACACTTTTTGAAAAAAATCTGCTTAAAAATTCGTGTTTTTTTGGTTATTTGATAATATTTGTTTGACTTAATATCATCTTTCATTTGACATTATTGATTGACAAACATTTGTGTGCATGAACATTATAATATTGTTTGTTTCGGGCTGGGTGTTTTCTAACCTTATGTATTTATTTATGTTATGTTATTTAAGTATGTTCATATCCCATAGTACAAGCTTTGCTTAGTTTGAGACTAGAGGCGCAGTGTTAAAATATTATGTCGAAGGATATTCAATTTTATTATTTGTTTATTCACTATTTGAAGATTACGGTTTAATCCAACTTACGGCTTGTTTTTACACTGTGGCGTCATCGCGTCGCGCGAATGTCAGCGCGAGTGTCAGTGCGAGGTGTGCGGGGGCTGAGGTAAACGAATGCACGGCATCGAGGCGGTAAATCCTAGCCTTAATGAAACATTAAATAATATGGCAGGAGATGAACGTCTCGGCTGCAGAGCGCACGCGCGGGCTATTTGATTGACGGGTTGCGTACGAGCAACTTACGATGCGCACAACAAGCGACGGCACCGATCTATTTTTCGTATTTCAGAATATTTACTCCAGTGAAATATACCTTGACCCGGTTGTACTAATGCTAGAAACTTGTCCAACTCTTTAAAGTTTCACTTTGATATATTTTCCAAGAAATATCGTCTGATCTCTCAGTATTTTTTTCATGGTTGGTTGTCACAGCTTATAAGTTCTTAATAACATACTCAGGGTGTAGATTTGAGATATGAAGAGTGGAACGTCAGTTTTTGACTATATAGAGTCGTCTCTATGTCGTCAAAACGACGATGATAGAAAACATAACTCTGATATTTGTATTCCGATTGTTTCGGTACAACCAAAAGAGCCATTTGCAAACAAATTACATATGCGTCTAATAATGAGCTATTGACTAAGTGGCCGAGTGGAGTGCCGTGTGATACGGCATTAATATACGAAATGGCGCGTGGGAGGTGACGACGAGTCAGTAGTGCGATGATTACCTACCTGACTCGAAGAAAATAAAAGTAGTCATTGCTTTAATGCTGACCGAATTTATGACAGGCATGCATTCTAGAAAGGTCACACTGCTATATCTTATAATACCTGCTTGTTCGCTATCGTGTGGGTTCGTGTCCGGGCAAAAGATTGAAGTACATTGTAAGGTAAGCCTTGCCAATTTCCTGCAATACAAACTAATCAATCATTATTACACATGAAATAGCATTAAATATCAAACCCACCCACAGTCTGACTTAACGCAATTTCATTGTATCAATGAAAAAAAGGGGACACCAACTGCTTGTCATTATAATAATCCAACTGCGTCATATTGTACGCTGTGATGCAATGAATATGCATCTTCATGTCGTCTTTTCATTTATATCGAAAATTCATTAAGCCAAAAGGGGAAACTTCCAGAGATGTTCTGGAATATGCCGGCATTGGCCTTATGTACTGCCTTGCAGCCCGTTTCTCACCAAACTTCGCAGTGAGTCAGCTTCGCACGTGCGCCCGCGTCGGTTTGTTTACAAGAAGGTATTCTGTAATACCAGCGTAAAGATGCGTAATAGGCGTTTATCTTATTAAATTATCCACTCTGGCATACCTTCAGAAAACAACGATATGTTTATTGCCAAGAATATGTTATGTAATACTGCAACTTTTCAGCGGTTGTTTCGAGCATATTATTCATACTAGCATCTTTTTCCGTCTTCACCGGGCTTTGAAGGGTACACCGATAACAGATCTATGTATGTTGTTTGTTACTAAGCTTCGTCTCTAACTAAAATTCTTCTGACTGACGTTCGGTCTAGTTGGTGCTTCGATCTACAAAGGCTTACGATTTTTCAAGAAATGCTTGTATCAAAATACTGTACTTGTTTTGTTGTTGTTAATCCTTTAACTTGAAATGGAAGTCTCTGATTGGTGTCCTTAATATCCAATGTAATGGCGACGATAGCCAATTAACAATTCAAATTTTTGTTTGAGTGTCTTTCATAAATCATAAGTGGTATTTTTAACAGCTAACTGGAGAACGCGGCTCAGGCAAAAGTCTCTTAAATATCAAAAGCTTTATCGAAAAGCATTGAACCGGCTGACTGGGGGCTTAGTGAGTCACCGCAGTAACCTGTATCGGTTTGTGGTAGAGTTCAGGTTTACTTTTTATCGAGATTAACCAGCACTTAAACATACATTAATTACGGGTGTTATGTATCCCAAAATGCTGCACCATATTTATGTTCTTGATACCATCATTAAAGACAATTTGACAGGCTTACAAATAAAATGTTCTATGGTCTTAATATTGTGCCGCGGGAATCGAACACACGACTGATGATGACGACGACAAATGAGAAGCGACTATAAATCGCTAAGAATTTGGAATTTTGGAAAATTTGGAACCAAACTGCACTCGGATAAACTTTTGTGCTCGCAACCTAAACTTTTGGCCATTATAGATCAAATACACATTCTTTCTCATTCAGTGGAAACATTTATATTGTTATCGCGAACGTATTTGCGTTAGCGGAACTAGCAATCCTTTAGCGTGTAGTCTGAACGAGGTGTCTACGGGGCGTGGTTATATTTCAATCGCCGTTCTGTTGCTGCAATTCGAGCAGCAAATAGATTAAAATATTTAACGTTTTTGAAGTCTACAGCTTGTTTACGTAACTTTTAGTTTAATATTGTATAAAACTCACGTAAGCGGACAGACGTTTTGTTTATTCCTCGTAGGCAATTCCGACTTTATTGCCAGTTCAAGCGTAACGTTATAGCCATATTTTTCGCACATTCACATGAATTCATAATATTTAAAGCTATACGAAATTATTGCCTTTGATAGCTGGAAAAGCTTTAGAGATAGGTACTGGAGAATGAATTCGTATAGGGTTATTGAGCACGCACTCGGAGCTAATAAATAGATTCAGGTCCAAATAGAACGCGTTTCAAGCGGTATTTGAACTCTGACCACTCAAAACTAGATTTAAACAAGACCTATTCAAGCGGCAATAATCTTATTACAGATGGCTTTTTAGTTTTTGTACCAACTGAAGTGTGGAACTGTTCAAAAATGACTGTTACGATAAGGTGGGAGGCATATACCATCTACATTTAAGCGTTTAGGTTCTGAAAAGCAGAAATGAACTTTGTTGATGATCCGAAATTAGAATGGCCAATGTTTTTCACACAATGTCGTTCCAGTTCATAAAGTTTTTAGTGCCCAAACAATTTACCTATTAAACCATTATGGAAATCTTTCGCGCTTTATTCATATAATCGTAAAATGGCAATGGCATTCGCTCTCCGCTCCAATGCATCAAAGAGTTAGGAACGAGTTTTAGCGCACGCAAACGCGTTCAAGGACTCGAAACAATCAGTGCGCGCTCGTAAACAAACTGAACAGGGATGTGTAGACTCATTCCTGAGTTCTGAGTCAAAATGAAGAACTTGCCTTCCTATTTCCTACTAATTATGCTGCTGCTGATCCTTTGTTTAAAGTGAAGACATGCATGCCAAGTCGTCAACTAATCGACTCGTACAGCAACACAAATTCCGACGTAATGTTGTTCTTTCTAACATTATTTTTTACTGCGCTGCGCTCTATTTCATATTTCTTGGATCTTTGCGGATCTGAAATAGAATTTTGATGCTTAAAAGAAAGTGATCTAAATACCGAACACTTTACTTTCATTGGAATACCTACTATTCTTACCCATGCTAAATGGTCACATCACTAGTAAGTATACCATGCTCAGCTGAATTGAGCCTCACCCAAATCTGCCCATCGGCAATCCACACCCATTCCCGAATCTTTCATCTATTGTTGTGACGCTGTAATAGCGCACGCACTTCCAACTCGATGTTTACTCTCCGTTATAAATAGTTATCAATGGGAATCGATTTTCCGTTGTGTGGCGCTACTGGCCCTTCATTCAACCAATGTGAATAGTACTATCAGGTATTCTGTGGTGATGTTAATTTGGTAGTGAATTTATTCATTTGTTTTGCTTGAGTTTAAAACAACTTGTGCGTGCTTGATAAATGAAATCCTTTTTTTTTTCTGGGATAAAGTTGACTGCTTGCCGTCATGAAAGCCTCCATATCATCATCATCAGGTCATTCAGTCCCCATCTCTTATTTACCAGAGTTAAAAGGGAGCCCAGCTCACACTTCCTACGCTAGCCAGACGGTTTGGGCTCACCTGATGATTGTTTTTTACCTTATCGTTTCTCACCAGTCTTACAACATCCACGTAGAGAGTGGGTGGCGAATGGTGATCCTATTCTACTAGATTTTCTTAACAAGTTGAACCTTAACTTTGAACTCTTATGTTCTTCTGATTAATTTCGTTGCGGCTCCAATGACAGTTTAACTTTCCCCCACGGGTTGGGTTAGAAGATTCGGGCTACACAGGAGTTGCAGCGGTAGGAACGAGAGGTGAGAATAGTCCCCACATTTTCTTATAAACATTTTGTTAACCCACAGAGAGCCGATCGTCGTGTGGCGAAGGCGGCGGGTCCGAGGGCTCGGAGGGGCGCGCCTCGTGGCGCGTGACGCTGGACCACGACCTCGTGGAGACGCTGAGCGCCATCTACCCCGAGTGGTTCAAGCCGCAGCACAAGCGCGAGCGCAGCCGCGCCGCGTCGCCCGCCTCGCCCGCGTCGCCGCCGCGCACGCCGGCCACGCCTCCCTCCGACGACACTTTCAGGTGAACCATGTGATAACAAACAGTTATTGTCTCGTGGAGACGCCGAGCGCCATCTACCTCGACTGGTTCAAGCCGCGCAGCACAAGCGCGAGCGCAGCCGCGCCGCGTCGCCCGCCTCGCCCGCGTCGCCGCCGCGCACGCCGGCCACGCCTCCCTCCGACGACACTTTCAGGTGAACCATGTGATAACACACAGTTATTGTCTCGTGGAGACGCCGAGCGCCATCTACCCCGAGTGGTTCAAGCCGCAGCACAAGCGCGAGCGCAGCCGCGCCGCGTCGCCCGCCTCGCCCGCGTCGCCGCCGCGCACGCCGGCCACGCCTCCCTCCGACGACACTTTCAGGTGAAACATGTTATAATCAAGTAGATAATAAATACAGGCACGCGTTCTATTCGAATTAGATTGCAAGTTTCGGCATTCCAAATAGAATCACAACGGACCAAGATTTAGAGATCTTGTATCGTGGAGAAGCTGAGCGCCATCTACTCCGAGTGGTTCAAGCCGTGCGGCGTCGACGACACTTTCAGGTGAACCATACAATAAAATAAGTACTACATACGTTCGTATCTGCAATGAACACGTTTCAATACTAGAATTCAAGAATAACTAATACAAATGCGCAAGCCAATTTGTTATTGCTATTTGGATCAAATATGTAATTGCTCAATAATGAATAATAAATAAATAAATAAAATAAACATTAGGTTGAGTTGATAGTAAAAGGTTCTGTCAATAGAGACAATAGAGATCAGTTGGCGTTGTCTTTAAACCATTCCTCAAGCATGAAATAAGCATAGAATATGGGGGCAACTAACAGATCAGAATAAATAGAGCTTTCTAAGCTCACTAATTAAAAGTACTTCAAAGATCTGGAGAATACTCTCTCATACTGTGTTCGTATTCGAGTTCATTGCTATCGCTCATTTCAAAAGTGACAAGATCCAAAAAAGGACTAGCCCTACTGATACCTCTGAGAACGAATAGACGTAGTACAATAGAGAAACTCGTGTTGGTTGATAATAAATTGCGATCACGTGAAATATTAAGTGCTGAGAGAACACAGGATAGCAAATCTATTCCAGCAGCGGTGATAACCATTGTAGCAACAGCAATAAACCGTCTGTTTGAACTCCATCAATCATGTTTTATTTTGTTTTCATATCCCCGATCTAACTGACAGTGACCTCGTTGACCAATAATGTAATGCTTGAACGTTAATAACAGGGGCTTACGTTTTTTGGAAGCAGTCCCACGACGAACATTTTGTAGTGTCGCTGTCGCTTGTGATGTCAAATATTGATGAATATCGTCAGGAATTGCGTCATTGGGCGTCAACTCTCTTTACTGGGGACAAAAAATAGTTTGCTGTAATTTTGATCGTGCTGCGCTTTTGGCGATTTTAATTTTATGAACCTAGTAGATGAATCAACGCGATTGTTTATGCATTTTTCTTGGGACCTACCTGACATCATCATTTTTATTTAAAGCCCATTAATCTGTTGAATAAGTCCCTCTCATTAATGTCTGGTTGGAACGATCAACAGCGGCCAGCATCTAATGATTTCTTGTTGCCTTTATCAGACTATCTATCCAGTTCCAGCTTGGAGGCGTTCCTTTCACAGGATTTATTAAGAGCGTTGTAGCAAAAAGTTGGCGTTCGAATTTTAGGTTTTTATTGCTTGACGTCGCGTAGTGAGTGCGCAAACTGCATTTATCTGTACAATTTCAACGCTGCGTCGACTAAACGATCTTAATCCGTAGTTGTATCGTACCTAAGACAGTACATCATACATAATAATAAAGAAATAATGTATAATTTACCTATTTGATTTTTTCTTAGATCAGACTTTTAGCAAAATCAAGTTACGTAATTTATGTATTTTTTACACTAGTAAATCCCGCGACAAGTTTTTGATCTTTAAATTGAGTAAAGTAATAAGTTGATGGGTTTGAAAGAATTTATGTTTTATTTTATTCTTTTTACAGCATCAAAAGCTTGTTTATGAAAAATATTTACTATTTAAATTTTACTTTTGACTTTTTAGTTTTTATGATGCGGGATGGAAAAATTAAAATTTATTCTGATTTTGTGACGTTTCCGCACATAAATATGGATAGGTTAAATAAATAGAATGAAATGTATGAAAACGAGCGTGCCATTTTTTAAACGTTATCTACAATATCTGTGTCCATCAAAGAGCTCGTAACTAAACATCGTAAGCGCCATTCAAATTATTATCTAAAAGTTAATAATAAATATTTAGTTTTTGTAAATCTAAACAAGTCAGGAAATCAAAGAGGTAAATACTGATATCATTGTGATTTTATAGAATTTATTATTATAAACCACGGTCGTATAATGCTAAAAAATCAGAGGTAACTTTAAGATTTTTATCCATAGAGCAAAATTTATCTAATCGTGTTTTTAAACAGTTATCCCATTAGGTACACATGCGTTCTGTAATACAAACCCATCAAAAACAATACTTGTCAAAAAACCAAGTCTCACTACTCAGTTGTTCTACGGTAAAAAGTTGTGAGATCCATGTAATACCAAGTCCAGTCCAGGAAATCATTAACGTTTTACATAAATATATTGACTTGGCCATCGCATGAAAACACGTGTAAATTAAATTATTTAGTGCGAAATGAAACGAAATTTTGCATGCCTGTGTAGACATGCAAAATTTCAGCTCAATGGGAAAACGGGAAGTAAGTAAATTTTAAGTTGCAAGATTTTACAACTCCAGATGTCAAAGAAAATAAAAGCTTGTAGATAGCTTTACAAAGAAAAGAAAGATTTATGAAGAAAATAAAAAGTACTGTCTACGATACATTTGTTAGGCCGTGTTGCACCGTCTTACTTTAACATTGACATCAAAATTTTGGATGTCAAAAATCTGTCTAACATAAAACACCGGTTATTGTCAGTTAGGGTCAAAGTTAGGTGGTGCATCTCAGCCTTAGTGTATTTTAATTAAATTTAATACAAATAAGGATGACGAAAATAATCGATAAGTGATCTCACTCGAATATTTCTTATAGTAGGTATACAAGATGTCGAACAAAGGGTTACTTACTGAAAAAGTGCTTCATGAGACCTAGCAAACGGCATCAATAATATGTTTAAGAACGAACTGAATCTATTCAAAAAACCTATATTTCCAGCTTTGGGGCCGTCCATAAATTACGTCATCGATTTTTTCAGATTTTAGACCCCCCCCCCTACAATCATCCTATCGTCATTTCTTAATGACCCCCCCCCCCTCTCCCAAAATTGACGTCATTACCAGTTTGACCCCCCCCCCCTACAATCATCCTATCGTCATTTCTTAATGACCCCCCCCCCCTCTCCCAAAATTGACGTCATTACCAGTTTGACAAAATTAAAAACTTGGTTATAGAATCACCTTTTTTTTTTTAATAGATAGAGTGATTCTTAAGGAAGGTTTATATGTATAATACATGTAAGTACCACGGGCGAAACCGGGGCGGGCAGCTAGTATTATATGTAATATTATTGTTAGAGTATTTTATCTGTAGTTATTAGGGGGCGTCCATTAATTACGTGAGATGTTTAGGGGGGGGAGGGGGTCAAGAAAAACCTCACTAAATCTCACGTAGGGGAGAGGGGGGGTCTCGACAAATATCACGTAATTTTTTCAACAAGAANCGCTCTTAATTAGTACGGTGTTAACTGCTGTTGCTAAACCCTTCACACAGCTTGATGTTTGTGATGGATATAATTATTCCTTTGAAATTAACTGCCTTATGTGGGACTCGAAGCAAGGCCACAAAATTTTACTTGCCAGGCTTTACGCTGTGAGTTTGCTGGCAGCAGGGTCATTCCATCAATAAAACTATCTCATCCCACAGAAATATACATGTGATTTCCCTGAATTTGAGTCCCACGCAAGACAGTCATTTTTCCAGTGAAAAGCCGTCTTAACCGTCCATCATTCATCATTGTTTTTATTCTATACAGTTCGGGTGCGGAGGAGATGGCCGGGCGTCAGGCGAGCGGCAGCGGCGCCAGCGAGCCGCCGAGCTCGCCTCGCGTCTCCCCCCCTAAAGTGGTCGTCGACGACAGCCCCCTCCAGCCAGCCATGGGGAAGCACAAGGAATGTCAGTATCTATACCTTTATATTACGTACTTATACCATTTCCAATACCGTCATAAAGGTCAGGAAAGCGCTGGACGCAGGCCGCTACCAACCGGGTAACATGGAAATCAATGGGGGAAGTCTATGTTCAGCAGTGGACGTCCTATGTGAGATGATGATACCATTTCCAAAGCTAGTTCATCAACACTTCATTATTATCATCATCAAACCTCTCTCATTTACTAGACAAATGGAGGATTTGGCCTACACTCCCGAAGCTGGTCAAAAGGGTTGGGGACTTGGGGAGGCCTGACGTTTGCGTATTTGTCCCTTAGTCGCCTACATGCAAGGGGAAGAGTCAACACTTTTAGGACTGCATAAAATAGACGCTATGTTGACTTTACATAATCATTATGATAAGTGAGGGTAATTTGTATAAAACAAGAGCCGACCGCCAATTTTTCTGCATTTCCATGAATAGCTTCCATAATTAAGACGAGACGGTTTCTGATATGTAGGGAATTAAGATGGGCAAACAAACAAGTTTATAAAGGTTATTGCTCCTCTTTGCAATAAGATGCCACGGTGTTTGTCCTGTATCGTCTTCTTTGCATTTACCTTTATGTATTAAAGTTTACCCACAATGCGCATATTTAGCGTGCAGGGATGACCGTGTAACTATTGCAGATAGAGCACATGAGTAATGTCCTCTGTTCTTTGTGTAGTAAGAAGATAGCTATTAATATGCGGAATGAGGACAGTCTCATTTCGAGGAAAAAATAATTAAATGGCAACGAAACTATTTTCGATCAAGACCAAGTCTGCTGCAGCGAATATTTCGTGCACAATAAAAATGCTTACATCAGAAACTGTAAAGCAGCCGTGAAAGTAGTTCTGAGTAAAACGGGTTTTTAACATTAAAATTATGAATGAATTACTCCGTGCGAACGAGTACAGGCTCCATATCAATGGGAAATAATACGGATAGTGCTCTGCACAGCGGCTTTCACTTTTTGGGGCAAATGCTTTCACATGTGCATTCCAGTTGGATGGTAAAGTACATGGGTATCGTTGCTGAGTTGCAATGTGTATGTATGAGGCGTAGGCCAGTGGCCTTAGACCTTGTCTCCGCGGGTCGACGTCTGGCCGGCGAGGCGGCGACGGCGTGCGGCGGCGGCATTACGATTCTCGCGGGGTCCGCGCTTCCGGCGCAGCCACACGTCTTCGCATCGCCAATAAACAAACTCGAACCTCGGTCCTTGTCAGCACGTGTCCATAATACATCAATCCGCGAACTAACTGCTAACAACTCAAAATACGTTTTTCATAGTACTTATGAGCTGTTTACAAAACCGGGAGCGAGTCTTTATTTAAAACCATTAGCGCTCACCATATTATATTATTTATTTAAAAGTCCTTCGCGTTCATTTTCGGACGCGGCTTAGTCTGTTGTTAGCTTCTATTTCGTGCTGGGTGTTATGCACTCTCCGTGTAGGTGTGAACTGTAAAATATTGTCAGTCATATTCTTGGCATTTGCGTGCAATTCGTATGAATATCATAGAAGTATTAATAATTTCATAACTCAGGCATGTTTTTATGTTACAAAAAAGTAGCTAATGTTGATAAAAATGGAACTTAAAAAAAAGCAATTTGAGTGAAGCGCAAACGCCCAGTAACCCACAATATTCGGCCCAGTGGTAGTGAATGTTTCGTCTGTAATACGGTCGCGGCATAACACTAGTTTCCTTGTGCAGTGTTTATTTATGTTGGCCGCGCGCCAGCGTTGTCCGACCGCCGCTTGCTGCTCCCCGCTTGACTACACGCAAACAAGAGTATAGAACTATTCGCCTACGCACCAGTCCCCGCCGACTTGATCGATATCATAGCATGTCGATATGTCGATAGACGTATCGACCACGCGGCCTTACGTCCATGTTACTGCCATGCTACGTCAAAGTTCGTCACCTGGCGTCATAACACCGTATTTTTCACGATGCGCCGGCTATTCAATCAGCACGCATTGTTGTATGCAAAAGGCGATCCGTAAACGTTGTCATTTGAATCGTAAAATCCTCACTGTACAGTCATCGAATGCTATATTTATTGAGTGTCCACCGGGAAAAAGATAATAACTAAGGAAAATACTGTGTTTTGTCGTCGCAAAACATTAAATTGGTGTATACCTATGGGTGGGATCTCTTATTTATCAGTGGTGTTTTGTTTACAGCATTGAAAGTTAAGCTGTTGACGCGGCGTCCCATCACGCAGCTCGTGGCCCAAGGGATAATGCCGCGTAAGTATAGTTTGTGCTTAATTCTTAGACTCTGTCGTAGTTGTAATTCATTGTTGGTATTTTTTGCGCTTCGTCCGCCTGCGCCGCGCTCGCGCGAGCCTGCGCGAGACCGCGGCTCGCTCGTGCGCGTGGGAGAAAGAATTTTATTTACGATTTGAACGCTACGGCTAATGAGAATTTCTAACTGGGCACATAGGCAAGAAATATTTTTACGAGTTAGAAATTGGCGAAAGAAAAATAAACTCGAATGCATCATAATTTCTAAAATCGATCATCGATTACATGTTCATTACTTAATTGATATCGAAACTAATCGGAACTCGCTAATAGGTTGACGATTATATCGTTCTATGGCTTCAATATTTTATATTTATTTTTCCAGCGTTAAAGACGCCTCCGGCGTACTTCGAGCAATGCAAACAATTGGAAAGAGCGAAGACGGGAGATTTGCTGAAAGCAAAAATACAACGACGGCCCGACCGTCAGGAATTAGAGCGAAGACACATATTAGAACAGGTCGGAAATTTTATTTGACCTTGTTTTGTCATTTATATGCAAGTGCCAATTTTTAAAGTTACCTAATATACTGACACGTTTTTATTTTATTTTTAGGAGAGCCATGTGGACCCGAGTCTCGCCGAGAAGCAGCGCATGCTCAAAAAGGCGCGGCTCGCAGACCAACTCAACGACCAGCTGTCGCACCGGCCCGGGCCGCTCGAGCTGATCAAGAAGAACATACTGCACACCGAGGAGAACATAGAGACGGCCGTCAAAAGCGGAACGCTCTCGTTCAAAGCCACCAGCGAGGGCGCCTCGGGCCGGCCGCAGCACCCGTCGTCGTACTGCGGGCCGCCCGACGACGCCTCGCCCTCGCCCTCGCCGCCCTCCACGCTGTCGCCCGCCAGCGTCGCCTCCCCGCCGCAGCACCCCGCGCCCGGCAAGGACAAGAACCGCAAGAAGAGCAAGCAGAAGCAGCAGCCCAAGGCGCGCTTCAAGTTCCACGAGTACAAGGGGCCCCCGAGCGCGCAGAAGGCGTCCTCGCCGCCCGGCTCCGTCGAGACGCCCTACGAGCTGCTCCTGCAGCAGCAGCAGCTGCTCCTGCAGCTCATGCCCGCGTCGCCCGCGCCCTCCTCCGCCGCCTCCGTGGCCTCCGACTGCTCCGACTACTGCGCGCCGCCGCCGCCGCCGCCGCCGCCCGCGCCCGCCCTGCCGCTCGCCGTCGCCGCGCGCTTCGAGGACATGAAGGTGTCCGACCTGCGCGCCGAGTGCAAGCGCCGCAACCTGCGCGTGTCCGGGCCCAAGCCGCAGCTCATCGACCGCCTGCGGCCCTACCTCGTCGAGAAGCAGGAGCCGCCGGAGCCGCCGCGCTCGCCCGCCTCCGCGGCGTCGCTGGCCTCGCCCGCCGGCCTCGACGAGCCCGAGGACATCGTGCGGTCGCAGCGCCGCCACATCGAGGAGCTGGAGCGCAAGCTGGAGGCGTCGCGCCAGCAGCTGGAGGCGGTGCGGCGCGACGCGGCGGGCGCGGCCGCCAGCGACCAGAGCCGCCGCCTGCTGCAGGCGCACATCTGCGTGTCCCAGCTGCGCGCGCAGCTCGACGCGCTCACGCAGCCCGCGCCCGCGCCCGCGCCGCGCCTCGTGCTCGACGCGCCCGAGCGCCTCGTGCGCGTGTTCGCCGTCGCGCCGCCCGCCGCCGACGCGCCCGACGCCGCGCCGCAGAAGGCGAGCCCCTCGCCCGCCTACATCCTCAACGGCGTCAAGGTGGTGCCCATCGCGATCCTGCCCTCGCCGCACTACGAGCCGGAGCGCCTCGCCGCGCCGCCGCCGCCGCCGCCGCCGCCCCCGCCGCCGCCGCCGCTGCCGACGTCGCTGCACGACCGCACCGAGGACAGCCAGATCATGGACGACGTCCTCGAGATCCTCGTCGAGAACGGCGAGCTGCCTCCGTCGGCGGTCGGGAACGGAGTCGCGACCGACGGCATGGGCGGCTACGGGTCGGCGGCGGACTCGTTCTCGCCGGCCGCCGTGCTGTCGGACGACGTGTTGTGCGACCCGCACGTGCGCCACTCGCTGGCGGCCGACGAGCTGCAGCGCGAGCTGGACGACATCCAGAACGAGTTCATGAGCCACGCCGAGATGCACGGCGTCGTCGACGAGCACTGCGACGTGGACCCGTCGGCGACCGACATCGACGCCGAGCTCGGCGTCGACCTGCTCTCGAACGGCGACTTCCACGCCGACTTCGGTGGTTCCGACCCGACGACGGACGACCACGACGACTTCTTCGAGAGCCTGCTGTCGGGCGAGAGCGAGCGCGCCTCCGAGCGCTCGCCGCCCACCGGCATGGACGTGGAGGACGCGCCCGAGCGCATGGCCATGACGCCGCTCACCAACGGCGACCTGCTCGACCACTCGCGCACCGGCTTCGAGTACATGGACGACCTGTCGCTGCCGTCCTTCCAGAACGAGGACGCGCGGCCGGAGCCCTTCGACCCGCGCGGCTGCGACATCGACCTGAAGGAGTTCGGCATCGACCCGGCGGCGAGCATGAGCATGCACGTGGACGGCGACGGCTACGACTACTGCGGCCGCGACATGGACGCCGAGCTCATCCCCAACGTGTTCGGGCGCGGCTACGTGCCGCAGTGCGACCCGCTGCTGGGCGCCGTGCTGGCGCGCCCGCCGCCGCGCCCGCAGCGCAAGCACTACTCCTGGGACCGCATCGAGTTCGACGCCACCTGACCCGCGCCCGCCGCCCGCCGTCCGCCCGCCGCCCGCAAGCCTCCCGACGCACCCAAGCGTTTCGATTCCTACAGCCGTTTTCGCTCGTAAGCTCGCCAGGACGTGAATTTTCCATCATAGAGAGCGCCGGCGGTGCGTCGTGGGCGTCGATGCGAGTGATCAGTGTCGGCCGCTACCGAGTACCGGCTCGACGTAACGTACGCTAGTCTCCTCAGTGACTCGTTCTTCCATTGGTGACTCCGAGGCCAAGTCTGGTTGTTGATGCTGTATGACACGTAGTGTTGATGTTAACGCAGGACTAAGTTTATATGTTCGGTACTTAATAGATGATATGAAACGTTTGTGTCGCTAGTTGATAAATAGTTTTACGAACGATCGGTTCACTTAGTGTTAAGCGCACGTAGCCACCGCGTGCGCCGTGACATACTTGGCTCACATATTATAAATCCATTTTATTTTCTATTTATAGGTGTATCTACTTATGTATATATTGAAAGTAAAAATACTCAACATAGTTGTGGATTTCTGCATTCCGCCCGATGACTAAAACTTAGGGAAAAATTATAATAAGAAAACTTGTTTTGTTGGGGACATAACGGTCGATCTACGAGACACCTGGCTATGTACACACACTACGATAATTGTTAATGTAAGATTGATGTTGTGTCAATTACTAAAATCCGCTTCGCGCCATCCGTGTCATGTGCGATAGCTATTTCCCAAATGAATAAGTGACATTCCAGTCTTGTCGAAGTGCGAGAGGCAAGTCCCGGCAGCAGCTTCGCAAGCGTCATGGGTGGGACCAGCTGGGGAACAATGTTAGGACTCATGTAGATAGGGAGCCGGCTCCTAGCGTTCGAACGATTATGCAAATGGCTCAAACTAACACTTAGATAAACCCTTCCTTAGCAAAATTCTCTCGTTAATTTGTATTGTAGTGTAACTTATGCTTTTACGAAAATTATTCGCTTTTATTTATTAATAATAATTGTTTCGATTACTTAGAGAAACGTTATGAATATTGTAACACGGAACATTCTTGAAAATGTATCATTCCAATGTATTGTCTAAAGCGTAGAATAGGTGCAGTTATCATAAGTTGATTCGGATTTGCCGCTCTCTCTTGGAAAAGTTCGTGTGTTTGCATAATTGTTTGAATGCTTTATTTATAATTATTTATTTACACCATAGAAGTGTACCTACCGTTTCTTTCCGTTGTGTATTCTTTAATTCGTGTGAGTGTAGTTCCACTAATTTATTGTCGAGTCTGCCATTTGTCATTGAGTAAATAAAATATTGTAATAAAGCGGAATTCGTGAATCGATAACATATTGCCATTAATTGCATTTATATTTTAATACAAAGTTAATCATAATGCTTGTCAGAACAACGAATGAGGTTCAACTATCCTTGGTGTGCCGACACTACCCTTAATTATGAGAGGTGTAAACAGTGCATCAACACAGTATCCTTACTATTTATTCATCCAAATAGAATAAGTATTTTTTCCTGGTATATATTTGTGGTTTGAGCATAATCATTTTGTCGGTGGTTAGATATGTGATGGTACTTTAAAAATATTTTTGGAGTACAATCACATATGGAATGGTGCTATATTATTTAAGATAATATTGAATTTTAGGAAGAATATCTTTAACAGATTATATAATTTTAACTAAAATCAATCGTGAATGTGTGATTTTTTAAATAAATTTTATTTATTTTGTCATTTGGAAATCAAAATTACCTACGATAGCAGTCAAAACCAAGTGATGTTTGTAGCTCTGTATAATACTATTATTAACTTATTAACTCTGTACTGGGCATCACAATATGTGTATGTTTTTGAGCAATCGAGTATATTCCATTAAGTAAATTATTATCGAACCTATACTTTAGCTAGATTTAATATTTATAAAAATCTATTTGCTCATTATCAAAATTGTACCTATCCATTTAGCCAAATATTCTATTTACGGTGAGACGATAATAATAAGATAATATCGGAGTTACGCCTCGGGACGATTAATAAGAGATGACTTGGTTTGCTTGATCTTAGCTAATTATCGTACTTATGTAACCTAGCAGGCGAGACACCGCCCCGAGGCTCTCGTGTCTACTGGCCTAGTGTGTTACTATAGCTTTGTATTTACATTTCTTCAAGAGTTTAGTTTAAATGTATTTAACGAGATACTAAGTGAGATTAATGTTTGATATAGCATACTTTATGTCTGCATATTTGTTATTGTTGTAATTATTTTAGGAGAGTTTTAATATTGTTTTATAGTGGCCTTTATTCCGTATCCGAAGTGATAGATTATGCTGGTTTTGATACTTAATTACACTTTTGCTCTCTGCAATACATATTTATATTAATATAGAATAACAAACTAGTATTCGGCTTCTTTATAACTTTGGTATACTTATTAACCGCACTTAATAATTGAGATTATTCATTTGTATTCACCATTTTAGAAATGTATTTAGCTAAGACTATCAATCATTGTAGTCAGTAAGCAATATGGCTTAAAGCCCACAGTGTGTAGGAGAGCCAAGTATTCAATACTATTATATTATTATGATGTTGTGATAACCACAGGAGTCGGAACTAGTGTAATTGGATAGTTTTTTACCTTGCCCTGTAATGAAGCCTTGTAAATATTTACCAAGCCTTTACTAGAATAAGGAACGAATGTTGATTAAAATTTTTGACACAAAATATTGTTTCATTTATCAATTCATGTTTGTTATGTAACTTGTTTGCAAATATACAATACTCAAGCTAGAGTTGAGAACGACTGATAATAATTTTATCTTGAAATTGCACCTATTATAGCCTGACCAGGAACATAAAAACCCTCGCCATGTTGCGGAAAATTAATGGTACTAATTTCTTTTAATGGCAACAGTAACTGAAAACTTCATTGACATGTCACCTTGCATGTCAGTCTATTGCTGTCAAAGTGTAAACAAACTTTATTTTAAATGTGCGCAATTGATTTTGTGAATTAAATTGCTAAAATCTTTATATAGTCGTGAAAGAAAAGTGGTTCACAATGTGTTAAAGTATTTGTCGAAGAGAAATACTAAGGGTTCGGACAATATTTTCATTGAATAATGTTTCCGACAAAGGTTGTCAAATTGACTGACATGTTTATCGTATAGTACAGTCAACTATGAAAATTAGCTGTGGTTTGTTTCAACTACCTATTTTAAAGTTTTTTGTCACTTTGTAAGTATTGAATTTTATGGAATTGGGAAAGAAGTACCGAGCTTGAAGCGTTCATGAGCAGACATTGTAGTTGAATATTCAAGTTCAGAATTTGATTATTGATGAATAATAATAAAATCCTACTTGCTCGATTGATGGTTTCATTTAATTTATTTAAACCAGTTTACCTATAATATAATACGTTTTTGTTAATTTATGAAAATATTAAATAAGCCTATAATCCTGAATCCTGATACATAAAGTTAGCCTATTAATTTAATACAGGTACGACTGTACCCAGTGTTGCACTATCAAATGCAATTGAAGCGCCTCTATGCCAGGGTTTTTATGTTCCTGGTCAGGCTATACATTCCATATTTATTAAAATTGCATGGGGAAAGTTATTGCATTTGAGCAGTAGAATCAAACCCTTTTTATTTGATAGGTATAGTGTATAAACGTATAAACATACTAAGTACGCATAGTCGCGAAGTTAAACCATTTATAACTTAAAGGCTGGACAGATTTTGATGAAATGGTAAGTACCATCCGTCGTTGGCGGTCAACATGATGTCCGTCACTGGCGTTGAAAAGGTTAATATAAAAAAAAACTAAAACGATTTCATCTTACAAAGACGCAGTGCGCGCAAACCCTAATTAAATAAATAAAGCTGTCAATGTCAATACAATGTAATTTATAATCTGTGTGGTGTTTTGACAGTTTACCTACCTTGTTTCTGACAGATTCTGCCTGCCGTATCATTTGCATTTTGCAAACGTTAATTTATTAATAAAATGTGTTTGTGCATTGAAAACTGATAAAAATATTATTATCAATACGAACAATTTACACCTGTTAATTAGAGATAAGGGGAAGAAGACATATTAGTTATGATATTGGCTGAAACTTTGTTGTTCTCTCTATCTCTGATCGATTGCGGTGCAATTTTATTTCTGTTAGTTTACTATATAATAACGCTGTCTGACTTGGAATGTGATTATTTGAATGCTCAGGAGTGTTGTGAGAAATTAAACTACTGGCTATTGCCTAAATACATTGCGCACTCGTTCATAACATTCCTATTGCTACTTCATGGGCAGCTGGTTCTATTTCTGATTAATCTGCCTATGTTTATATGGCTCACGTTTGAATATCTGACCATACCTCAAGGAAACTTAGGAGCTTACGATCCAGCTGAGATACACAATCGAGGTAACCTAAAGAAACACCTGAGAGATGTTATGATATACATTGGGTACTATCTCATATTCTTTTTCATATACCTCTACTGTTTCATCCTTGCTCTATTGAAAGGGGACCCATTACAAAGGCATGCTGATGATGAAATTATAACTAAAATGTAAAAATGTCTGATAATTCAGTAGATAGTATTGATTTGGGAGAAGCTCAGGACTTAAGTGACTCAGACAGCAGTTCTAATGATGACCCTGGCCCTGCACCATGTGTGAAAGTGCCTCTACCAGAGAACATAGCAGCTTATGTTGAGAATGTTGAATTGATGCGTGATATTGAACCAGTTGATTGTAATAGCAATCTTATTGAGAATGTAATGAATAACTATGTTATTGTTAAGAAGATTATTAGTAGTCTACCATGGCAAGAGAAGATGCTATGTAAACATGTGTGCCAAACGTGGCATTCAGCTGTGCTAGCCCTCCAAAAGGAACAGCTCAGTCCTGCAGACTTTGTGATAGATTTACAACTTGCTTCAATAAAAAATGGTGTGAAATATAAGGTGTCTGGTGTGTATTACACTGAGCCGCTAGTCATTTTCACATTTACAAATACCCCAGCTGGGTTTGGGATTACTAACAGATGCTTGGAGTTGGTACCCTCCCCATGTGATCCACCATGTGATAAAGAACATTGCTGTAAGTATATTATGATATTGATATTAATAGCTTTCCTGGCCCTTTTGCTGAATGAGATTGCCATTAGTTGTGTACTTTTTAACAATGAAGGGATTTAAATAATTTCTTTATTTACAGTAATTGATTATATTCATCGTGATACTACTGCACCAAAAGATTGTATGCTAACAGTGAGGGCAGGCTACCTCTCATACATGCCACTGCCACATTCAATAACAGCTAAGCATACAATCACGCAACGCATGTTTCGGAGATCAAACGCATTTATTGGTGGAATTTACATACCAAAAATTCCAGATGTTCAATTTCATGTGATCAATATAAAGACTAATACAGACATGCAGAAGGAATACTTTGATGTAATCTCAAATCTTGCTCAGGACAACATCTTCAAGGGTATTTTAATTTATGTGACTGAAAAGTTTCTTCTACATTCAGAAATTGGGGAATGTGCTTACCTAAATTATTTCAAGGAAGTGTAAGTTTTAATATTTTTATTCCATTTTGTTCTAGTATGAACAACTTTTCTTTATAATTATGTGAATTAGTTTATTTAACATACTATCCTGGCACAAACTTCAAAGTAGAAAAAAAAGTTCTTTGTTTAACTTATTTGTTTTATTTTTATTTTTATAGGCAACCAGACATACCTTACGCACTTGGAGGCTGTATAGTTGAAGATACTATGTGCGAACTCAGTAACATAACGCCACTGGTGGACTGCAGGAATGAAGGAAATTATTTTGTCAGTGAAAATCTCATAACTATTGGGATGTTCACAGTGCCTAAAAATACTAATGCTGCAGATCAAAACCACAAAATAAACTTTGATATGTACTCTCTTATACTGGAATCATCAGATTGGACTAAAGCAAAAATACAGAAGACAATTAATGAGGTAATGGTACAAAAATAATTGAAATACATGTAATATGTCTGACTCTGAACATGTTCATCTCTATTAAAGTATACAATGAGTTCTACACACTACCTACTAGTGTCAGTGTAAGTACTACCAGACAGGCTATGCTGAACTGAGAGGATTGTCCTATAAGTTCAAGGCTGTCTTTCAGACAGTAGAGAATAAACAGTAATGTTTAGTTTGACCTGTGAGACCTTACAGCCGCACGCTCGTACTGTTTCTTCTGAACAACTAGTAGGTTTTGACTATAATAATAAATATTACTTTTTTTTCAGTTCTCCAAGAAAGTGCCGCGTTTCGAGCACAGCGTGGTATTGAAGCTGTCATGCGTTGGACGCGATCAGAAGCACGAATTAGAAGAAGACTACTTCAGAGCCGAATTCCCCACTAGCAGGCTGGTGGGTTGCTTTGGTAACGGGGAGTTGGGGGTCAACCACCCGGTACGACCCGCCGACGACGCCCCGCCGTCGAAAAGACATCGACATGACCCGGGACCCGAGTTTGGATTGATATACTCATACTCTACAGTGTTTGTGTATATTGGATGGGGGAAAATCACGTCACCTGAAGGACCTAACCATTAAGAAATTAATGAGGATAATCATTGCTTAGTTACTAAAGATCTGTCTGAGAACTGTGCAATACTGAACTTAAGTCGCCAATTTATTGGAGTGATTTTAATATAAGGGAATGCCTAGTAAATATGTAGGTACTGGGTATTATTGATGTGATAGTACTTATGCTTCCGAAAATTTATTTAGTTGTATTATTATTTTGTTGTCATTGTCATTATATCATGAATCTACAGGGTGTTAGGTAAATGGGTATATGAGCTGACACTAGCCCATGTTAACATGGTCATATAAATGGTATGGTGAAGTCAGAAAATTGATATCTTCATTTTAATTATTTTATTTTTCATACAAATCGGATTTTATAAAATTTATTTTGTACTAGCTTTCCGCCCGCGGCTTCGCCCGCGTGGATTTTTGTCTGTCACAGAAAAACTATATCGCGCGCGTCCCTGTTTCAAAAACCGGGATAAAAACTATCCTATGTTCTTTCCCGGGACTCAAACTATCTCTATGCCAAATTTCATCAAAATCGGTTGCGAGGTTTAAGCGGGAAAGCGTAACAGACAGACAGACAGAGTTACTTTCGCATTTATAATATTAAGTTGGGATTGGGATGAAAATAAAAAATAAAAAAATGATGATATAAAATTTCTGACTTCACCATGCCATTTATACGCCCATGTTAACATAGGCTAGTGTCGGCTCATATACCCATTTACCTAACACCCTGTATAGTGCTTAAACATTATGCTATTGTAAAAATGCGTACTATCGCATAATGGTCTTAGTTCAAGTTTTTAGTATGTAAAATAATTAAATATCAACCAGGAATAAGTTTCGATTTCTCAAGTGAATAAAATAATTATCTCTGTAAACGACACGCTTAGACACTACATAGCTTAATATGAAGAATATCCAAATATTAAAAAAAACACTTCATTATGGATGTAATGATAAGTAACTAGGTGTACCATGTGATTTTCAGATTACTAGCATTTTGAGAAGTTATCTATTATTACCTATACATACATTTAAGAATATTCATTTTATTGAATTTAATTTGTAGACATAGATAAAAAGTACAATATAAGCTTTTCAATCTCAAACAGCATAATTTTGTAAGATTTTGATATGTTAGTAAGGTTTGCAGAATAGGTTAAGTGAATCATAAAATTATCTTTCTGGATTTTTATTAATATCATGTGAAAAATATCTATCAGTAAGAATAATATTGTAGCATGAAATTATTTAAGAACAAAACGTTTTAGATATTACATATTCTGACTTGTGCACGATTAATGAATACATTTTTAAATAGTAACTTAACTTTTTTTTCACATCCATAATTTAACAACAAGCTAGGTATGTTATGTATGGGGCCTATATCTAAAGGCGGCTCTTAAAATCTGACACCGGGATTATCTATGACCAAAAACACGTAAAAAGGCCATCTGATCCCAAACTAAGCAAAGCTTTTGTTATGTATGGGTACCAAAAAACGATAGCAGAAAAAGAATATAAACGTACACAAATATTTTTTGTAAATAAATACATACATACTTATACCACAGATAATAAAATAATACCCAAACCTATACCACAGATAATATAATACCTATACCAACCGATATACAGGGTGTTACTTTGCATTCTTGCCATATTTACAGAGGTTACTATATTACTGATACTGAACACAAATCCGTAAAAAAATAATGCCCGAAAAAAATTTTTTTAAATCTTGAGTATTTTATTTTATCGACAATCTGTTAAACACACCACTAATTATCGTAACGCATGCACATCACTTGTTGGCGATGGCGATGGAGACTTTTTAACTTTTTATTGTATTTTTAAATATCTATTGCAATCTATTGTCTTTAAAATGTCTTTTTGACACTTGTAAAAAACTGAGAAATCCATCAAACACAAATCACGTTATAAATAATACAAAAATGACTGAAGTGTATTCAAACAACGAATAATTTAATCAAAATGGTGCTTGGAGTGTCTGCAAGACGTCTTAGACGAAAAAATGCTTGATGACGTACCCTTAGCGTTACACCAAATGCTCTACTACCAGCAGGATGGTGCTCCCTCACAATGAGGACGTCAAGTGTGCGAATAATACGTTTGCTGAACAGTGGATTGGACGAGGGGTCCAGTAGCTTGGCCACCACGATCCTCGGACCTGACACCAATGGATTTTTGGAGTGACTCGAAACGACTGGTATGCGCAGAAGAGATAAACAGTGTAAACGCGTTACATGAAAGGATTGTTTTAGTGAAACTGTGATACAAAACGTTTATGTGTTGCGAAAACTAAAGCGAAAAACCTACGCTTCGCCGTGCTAGACTGTGCCTTCATCAGAACGGAGGACACTTTGAACACTTGCTTCGCAGTACGTAAACTTTGTAAGTAGGAACTTATAAATAAATAATTAATTGTGAATAAGGTGATTTCATTTCATACTTAATTTATTAATTTGTAAAAATAGGGTACAATGTTGTAAATTAATTGAAACCCTATTAATTATTACGTATTTTTGACGGTCCTAAGCCCGTAAAGTAGAAAGGAAAATCTGTAATCAACTGAAGAGTATTTTAAAATAGTTATTATGACTGGATAAAAAGGCTGGTACCCAAAGCCATAAAATTAAGAACTAGGCCACGCCCACTAGGTTTATTCCACTTGCACCTGTAGAACGTGCGAGACAAAATTGGTTTATTCCAATTTGTACTGAAAAACCCAATTTACTAAAATCTTAGTGTACTTTATGGGAGTCTCTTGTTTATCTTAAATAATAGGTATTGTTACCTACTTTTATCTCTGTGAATATGGCAAGAATGCAAAGTAACACGGTGTATTCATTTACATACACAAGGCTCAAAGTCACCCAAAGGGCGATGGAGCGGGCTATGCTCGGAGTTTCCCTGCCTGATCGAATCAGAAATGAGGAGATCCGCAGGAGAACCAAAGTGACCGACATAGTTCGCAGAATTGCTAAAATCAAGTGGCAGTGGACGGGGCACATAGCTCGTAGAGACGATGGCCGTTGGGGCAGAAAAAATCTCGAGTGGCGACCACGGGCTGGAAGACGTAGCGTGGGCAGGCCTCTTACTAGGTGGACCGACGATCTGGTGAAGGTCGCGGGAAGAGTCTGGATGCGGGCAGCGCACGACCGTTCATTGTGGAAATCCTTGGAGGAGGCCTTTGTCCAGCAGTGGATGTCATTCGGCTGAAACGAACAAACATACACAAATGTTATCTAGTATTGTAACGTGCGTGGATCGAACCCGCGACCTCTATCTTATAAGTCCGGTACGTGTTGAATCACTAGGCCAAGCGGGCGGGCGTCAACGATTCTATTGAGGACAGGAAGGAATCTGGTGCAGGCAGGACTCGTATACACCCTACTTTTTAATAAAATTTGGGTAATAAAACAACCCTTGGACATTAAATATCTGCATTGCTATCTATACTTATAATAAATCTGTAGAGAGGTCAATTCTGTACATGAAATATATTTTCAAAATAACTATCAGGGGGTGATAAGTAATCGATACTGATACCAAAAATGCAATCAGTAAAATTTTTGTCTGTCTGTCTGTCTGTCCGTCTGTATGTTCCTTATAGAAACAAAAACTACTCGACGGATTTTAACGAAACTTGGTACAATTTTTCTTCATACTCCTGGGCAGGTTAGTATACTTAGGAATTCCCACGGGAACAGGAATTAGCGGGAAAATCCTTTTGTATGAAAAATCTAAACCGCTTAAGTTAGACACTTGAAATTTGGCATGTAGGTACCTTAGTAAACTTAAAGCTTAGTTACAACAAGATATTGCAAAATTCCCACGGAAACGGGATTTAGCGGGAAAAAACATTTGTATGAAAAAATCTAAACCGCGTAAGATAGATGAAGGGGGTAAAACGGGATCCACGCGTACGAAGTCGCGGGCGGCCGCTAGTCTATCTAATAATTTGACATGCTGCATCTGCATGCAGTAAGTATAGTAATTAAATTACACAAAACGGTAAGTTTTAAGTAAAGGTAGGCCTTAATTACTTAAAAGTTACAAGTCAAAAGTATCGGTGCCAATAATTCCGTTATACGAAAGTGGTAGTCAAATTGACCAGAAATTGAATTTTACGCATTAAGTTTCACGAATCGCGAACATGATAGGTATTATGGACAGCGCGTTTCGGTGATCAACTGTACTTTAATTATGTACGCAAGAAAAGTAGGTAAGGATGACGGAAAATCAAGCATAACACTTGTATTTGTGTAGTAGGTACTGGTAGTATTTAATAGGTACGATTTAACAATGAAATGCAACAACAAAGAAGTTTAAACTTACTGTACTGTCGTCCATTATGTCGACATTAGATTTAAATTATTTTGAAAAGAGTAAAAAAACATTCGCCATGGGGCTCGAAACTGCAAATGTAAGCTAAAACTTAATTAGGTACCTACTAACGAATAAGTATAGAATAATAATAAGTATTATGTAACAAACCTATTGCAATATGTAGTCTTATGAGAAGGTAAGGAGATACTCGTACTTTAGTATTGTCTACCAAATCTGTTTAGGATTAACGTAACAGTTCTGTTGTAAAGTTAAATATAGGCAGGAACTTGTGGCAGCTTTAAAGCAATGTTAAGTAGTTCCTCCTAATTACCTATTCATTCACGAGGAGAAATCATTTAGGTACCTATTCCAAAACTGCTGGTAGGATGTTAAGCAAGTAGGTATATAGTACTTACGTGTTTTCTCAGTAATTTATCGTACAGTCGGGTAAGTAAATGACAGACAGACAACTAATTTGACTAAGTGGGGGAGGGGAATGCGCATCCTAAAGCAGATAGTCACATATTTATTATTATTAATATTAAAAATGCGAAAGTTTGGATGTCTGGATGAATGTTTGTTACTCTTTCACGCAAAAACTACTGAACGGATTTTGATGAAACTTTACAATATTATTCTTTATAACCCTGAATAACATAATAGGCTATAATTTATAACTATTTGTGACAAACTAAATTTCACGCGTGTGAAGTCGCGGGCAAAAGCTATTGACTATAAACTTCACTTGCCAATTGATTGTTGAAATGCGTTATTGAACATATAAATTAGGTACCTATCTAAATATGATGTTTATAACTGCTAGAAACTATAGTTACCTATACTAGAAGTACTAGAATTACTGGTAGTTATAATAAATATTAGACGATAATATTAATAAATCTGATTATCTGACATTTCAAAAATAATATTATGAAAATATTTTTTACTGATTGTGGTCGAGAAGCTCTATTCAATACATCACTGGAGTCCACCAAATTGTTATCCATTAGCTTCAGACATAGCATGTCTAACAGACAGTAAACCAGACAAGTTTCTGTTTTTATGATTTTTATTAGGTTTGTACATAACAAATTATGATTTCTCCTAGAGAGCTAGTAACAAGCAAATCACAAATTAGTTAAGTGTTCACTCTGCCGAGTGATGAATTACGACAGCAATTACTATCGCTCGTTCGATACATAAATTTTAATATCTATTTTTGTTTGATTCCATTTAGTAATTGGAGCGAATCTTTCTAAATTCTTAGAGATAAAATGTTTGTTTATACGACGTATTCTCCGGAACACTGAAACGATTATTGAAAACGCTTTCATGAAAAGAAAGCTACTGTCACAGTACTTATTATTATTCTGTGCTGTCACTGACAACTGACATCACAACTCTGATGCCAGCTTAAGGTTGTCATGACTCAGTTAGGATGAGGCATTACGTGCTCTCGCTTATTATGTAGTTTGCAATGCTCTACCAAACTGTGCACAAATAAACAAAGTGATTTTACCTACATTATGCCCACTTTTAAATCGACGAACCCAGAATCTCTTAGAGTTGATTGAGTCTTTTCCGACAACTGGATTGCGTTTTTACCTTCATCGAATTAATTTTCACGCATTATAGAGATTTAATTTTGCGAAACTAGTCCAGACAACGGTCCAGGTAACAATAACCCGTGTGCATGTGAATGGTAAACGAATATTATGGATCAGTTACATCGGGGTGCGTGTGAACGCCTGGCTGAAGAAGTTGTTAAGTCTGTAAACGAGATGTAATTTATAACGTGAGATGAACCGAAGACAATCATCTTGTGGCATCAATAAATTTGCTATTAAATAGGTGTCACCACGAAAGTACGATTTTTGAGATTTTTGTTTAAAAACTTAAACGGTACTTCGTTTATATTTCGCTTTTCATGAATTATCAATGAATACTGGAAATCATTTAAAGATAAACGCAAATTGTACCCACCCTAGACCACCAAAACCTATCATTTGACTCTACAAATAATTATAATATTCACATCCGTTTTGTTAGGTTTTGTTCAACATTAGGTGATATTTTTTTAACAAACGCCATAAATTGTAGAGCCAGTTCGGTTCTCAGGTAGAATGTAGAGTCAAAATCAACGATATGAATAATATCTTCATAAGTATACGTTATCATATGACCGTTACGAAGCCCGCGATTCAATAGCTAATCGAGTCGAGAATTTCGTAGTAGGGACGTAGCGCTACGGGCTACGAGACTACGAAAATATTAAAACTTTTCTGTAATTTACATGTAATATAGAAATATTAATTGATTGATTAATTAATTCATTAATTGAGTTGCTAATAAAATCTGTCTCGGCTATAAATGACATAGTAAAATAACGTAAATTTTGCTTGCTTCGCTTCAATGATTTCAATCGAAAGATTTAAAAACTAATCTTAATGCCGCTCTACCGCAGTCAACTGGTGAAATATCAAATGGCAAGCGAAAGCAGGATTAGTGAAGAAAGTCCGTTCCTGTAGAGTCGAAGGGTGAGTGGATCGTAGGCTCCGAGGCGGCTGCGGCACGGCGCCAGTGCTTCGCCCGGTGGCTCACGGGACGCACGCCCGCGCTCGAGGCATTTCTCCGCGGATGTGACACGCGCGTATCGGACATTATTTTGTTGTATCTAACTTTTTTATTTTAGTGATGAATAATAATGGTGGGTTTTTGTTGTATTTTTATGAGGCTTTTATGTTATTAAATTTAGTTTTTAACATAATTAATCAATCTTTAAATTAAATAATGTTTATTTTTATAACGAAAAAAAAACCCGGTTTTAATGTGGAAACAAAAGTTTTCAGCGAATATTTTTATATTTGTAAATAGAAAAAGATGTTTACTTAGTAACATCATACGTAGTAAGTAGATATTTAAAATTATTTAGGTACTTACCTTGTTAATTATAAGCATTAAATAAACCTGCATTGCCTGGTAATTTGTAAAGGAATCTTAAGCACACAGGAGGAGCGCTAATTTAACATTATCGTTAATTAATTAAGGGTCCTGGAATTATTAAATGCAAATTAATTCAGGTGGATACAATTTATGCAAAGGGCGCCGCTCAGTTCCTCCCATTAGAGACCCCATGTGTTCGGAATACTTCACCTTCTAATTAGGCGCCGTAATTGTACAAAATATACACTCGTGGATATTCTACGTTCTTCGTGGTTCCACTAATTGAATCATAATTACCGATGGGAAGCAGACCACAGGTACTTAGAAAAACAATATTTCTTCAGCTGCTATGCTTCAGTAAATGTTTGTGTGCACATTTCAAACAGGTATCATTTCTGTTTGTAATCATCGCGTTAGATATCAAAATAAAGTAGACGGCTAAACTGACGTTGCACATTATTGCTCTAGTTAATGCCCATTTCAAAAAAATACTATTAGTTTCTCACAAAACGAGGTCCTAAGTTTATGAAGCCATTGGTTCTGAAATAATTTTCTGTGGGAACGAGGTTTCCAGTGTAATGTGTATTGTTAAAAATAAAAGTAAGGAATTTAGATTACGAGAAAATATTATAGATAAACGTTTGATATAAAATATGATGTTGTTTATATGTATTATAAATAACATTTGTATTACGTTTTAATTGTAGGTAATAAATTATTCGATTTAATAGAATTTGTATAGTTTGGTTGGCATGGTACGCTAACAAAAGAAGATAAATGATGATTAGGTTCACAGCGGAATATAATAAAAATATATTAAATCCCTTTATGACATGAGATCAATTCGGCCTTGCTCGAGCAGTAGTCAATATTAAACCAATTATATGTCCTATCATTTAATATTTATTTGCAGTTTTATTATTCTGATGAAATTTATGTCAACATAAGGCACTTTATTAAAACCGACGATCGCGGCTATTTTCGTTGTTTTATTTTAATAATCGATTTTCAAGAAGAACGAAACCAAAAGAAAAGGCATGAAAAAATAAACAGATCACAAAATCTCTTTGAGAAAGTTGTTCTTTGGTAACCTGTTACATGCAATTTAGACTTGCATATTGTGATGATCTGCAAAATTAAACAATGCTTCTTGTTATGTACGATATCAGCGTTAATGTCCAACAAGTGGCTGTGAAGCGCACGGAGAGCGGCGCGGGCGCACGCTGCGTTCACTTTCACCGCTCGTCGCCGCCGAAATGTTTGTTAGAAACTTATCGTCACATTACTCCGTGTTTTATTAAACAAATAAAAATATTCGCTGAAGCTGTCTTCGTTTATAGTGAAATTACATCTGACTCTATCTCAGTGTTTGATAATAACTAGCTACTACATTATTGATTTAGCGACTGTGACGAAATCTGTTTGATTTTCACACGCAAGTAACGGTTGGTTTAAATGGTAAAAACTGCTGTTGCAATTTAAATTTAATCGAAAAAATTGCATGCAGTTATTAGTTTCCTATGCCTGTTACCGACACAATTACAACTGGGGATATTGTTTGTTTGCAGCGGTTGGTGGCCGGTGTAGCGTGAGACCGTCTGTTGCTAATCTGGCGAACCACAGTTGAGCTCCCGAATTCAACTGACCGCGTTGTAGAAGCGCCTGGACTCGTGAGTGTTGTGCAATTCAAGTGACATAGAACTGTTCCGAGCCTCCGGAACTGCTAGAGATCAAGTGAAAGTCTGTAATTTCCCCCATTTGTGTGGGAGTCCGAACTAAAGTGGAAAAACAAAGAAGAGCTTAGAAACAATGGACCACCTGTTCCGGCAAAGGCGGATTAGCGTGCCCAAGCGGTGAGTACTTTCAAACGTAACCCTGTATTACATTTGTCACTCTATTCACTTATTCTCGTGTATTATGCGCCTGCGCGGATACATTATCGTTTAGCGTAATCGTCTGCTTCTCGCCGAATAAAAGAAACAAAAGTTATTGATGTCGAGTTAATGCTTCTGCATCATTAGATGTGTATTCATACCGTATTCGAATGTTAAGCTTTTAACTGCTCATTTTAATATCTTTGGAACTGACAAAACGTTTGGAGGCTCAAGATAATGGTATTTAATGTGTACATGAATGTAATAACTACTTTATGCACGAAAGTAGTGACAATAGAAAATCCATTATCTGTCTATGAAGACATTAAAAAAAATTCAAACTCAGTTAATAAATAGGTATTAGTAGTAGCTAGTTAATTTAATCGGTGTAAATCTTAGAACGGCAATTGGAAACATGTTTTTCCCGTCGCCTACTTCGAGGCATCTATTATACATGTCACTTGCAATTAGCCGTTTCATCGAGAAAATCGTCGTGTTCTTTTCCAATCGATAAGAACGTTGTCAACCCGGACGGAGCTGATTAGCTGAATTAATTTTAATTACCCGACAAAACGTTAGAGGAACAATGATTTGATGTAACAAACGGTTCCGATGCGATTCGTAGAACAAACGGAGATGTAAACAATTATTGCCGGCGGGGTGAAAGACCTCCGCATTGGTTTTTGCCAGCGATGGCAGCGATATGTCGGGTTGTTGCTGACTAACGATCGACAATAGAGATGTCTTCACAGCGAAATGGCTTCACACTGAAAAAAGCGTTATAGAAATATTTACATACACTTTTAAACTTCCATTATCACCTTCATATCATTTCAGAGATAATAAAGACTATTGCTCAAAAATTGTAAGTTTTAGTTTAGGGTAATATTAAGATGATAAATTAAATAAATAATAGAGTGGTTTTCAAAAATTATAATAGGATCGTTAGTCGATCTGAAAAGATAATGATGTACTCTATATAAATTTTTCTTGTGAAAACAAGATTTATTATTTTATACAAAATATATTTTACATGACTGCACATTCATCATTTCGCGTGCTAAGACACTGACAGCTCGCGTTCTTGTATAAACGGCCTGATAAATCGGAACTTTTTCATCTTTGGCAAAAACATCAATGTTTTGATTACAGACTGTTGCGTATTTGAATTCACATGTGATTATCAACCATATTACTTTTACGAATACTACGGTGTAGTAATAAATAAAGCCTAGGTGGAGTCAATTAAGTCATAATTATTTCAGATTTATGAGGGCTCGCTGAGACGCTGCATAATTCAGAAAAATAAAATTATTTACATATATCTGCTCGATCGGAAACCAATCTCATCACGACAGAACAAATTATATTTAGAAACATTCTATCATTATACTTTTTCTATCTATTTTCATGATGAGATAGACTTATGCATTTTTATAAAAATCTAACAATACAAAGATCTCACGTAACTCTCCTCTTAATATTCAAATGCGGAAACTATTTACAAAACCAATACTTATTTAATGCAAACGTCTATTGTAATTTATTCTATTACGGACCAATCCATCGTTGATATCCAAATATGGAGTAATATCAAATATGTATTATGTTTCCGGTCGCGAGTTTCTAAAGAAATTGCATAATTTTGCGGAAAATTTCCCAAATATGATATAATGTTGAAGGGAAAGTGGTAATTTCAGCTATTTTCGGGTACACTCAAGTGTGGCGTATGGCGCTGGATCTCAAGTCATTTTGTCACACTGTTTGTTTATAAATGTTATCCATTCTGTGTACATAAAGTAAGTGTAGAGTGTTGCTTGTTTTCTCTTATGAGTAAACTAACTATAAAGTTAATTATTAAAACATACGAGTAAGTTATCGTCTAAATTAACAACATCATTAAGTACCCACCTCAGGCCAAAAAGTATCTTAGTGTTGGTCAACTTCGTAACATAATTTATTAATAAATAGTGTTATTGGCGTGACAGGGAATGCTCATCGCTGATGCAATTAGCCGCCTCGCGCCGTCCGGCTATCTTGTCAAGAAATGAATAATGTTTATATAAATACCCACCAGCATTCGTTCTTTTAAATAAAAATAATATGTTATTAACACCATAATTGCGTTACAATCGAAAACTTGTCAGGCAAAGACCCGCATCGCGACAACGCCACAGCTGCGCGCGCGCAACTAGAGCATAAAAGCAATTTCTCGCCGCGGGATGAATTTCTTAAATGATTGACGTACATTTTCATGTTTACATGTAATTTGTTATAATAGTAATAATAAGTACGTGAATATAACAGTCCCATTTGTGCTTGCTGCTGAAAAACAATTAATTAACTATATGATTTAATCGTAGCTTTTAATTTAACGGCACAGTAAGCATGCGTGAAAACTTAAAATTTTGAATTAAAGCGCATGTAACTTCACGCGTTGATTCTATGGATTTACACTAAGTACAGCTTGCTACATAAACTATATCTAATTAAATTTCTAGTACTCAATAAGTTTATATCCGTGTATTGGAGTATAAAATATTATGCATCTTAAAGTAAAAAATGTTATACATTTTTACAACGTAATCAATTACACTAACAATCAACAGCTTGCATTCTGTTGTCGGAGACCAATTATTATGAAAATATGATCATAGTTATTTCCGATAGAAAAATGTTGTACATAGCGATTGTTGTTGGGAATAAAGAATTTTCCGAGAAAAGAAATGAGGAACATAATGGAAAGAGATTCGTAGAAAGGCGCGTTTATATGTTAATAGCTACAATTAACCGTAGCCTGAGTCAGTATTTATGGCTTTTCTCACACTGTGAAATCTGCATAGATCTAGATGTCTGACATTGAATGCAGACTATCAAACGTGTTGAGCTGCTTTTTCGGTGGCTTAAAAGTTTACTTATAATTTCAGTTTTTCTACCTCAAAAACAGAAATCCTCACCTTGAAATAAAAATTGCTGGTTTAATGTTAATTAAATGACTTAAGTTTTATTCACCTGCAAACAAAAAAGTAATGAACACTTTTTAAAATTTATTCTTTAAAAGTAACAGTATTCTTGATAAGGGTTGAAATCGTTGGAGCCATAAAATAGGAAATATATAATTCAACACATACAGAGCCAAATAAGGACGATAGTAACTTGTGCGTAGAGTTTACTCAGGGGCCCTTACTAAGTTTCGAGTTTACTGCGCTTTGCCGGTAAGCCGATTCGGTATTGGCCAGCAGTGGACAGTTACTGCTGCACGCTTCACTTCCTACCCTCGCCGACCGCAGTGCGGATCTTCCATTAATTGTATGGAAACCACAACGGTTAACTGTACATTCATCATCTCTCTCATCGCGTTAAAAATATTAACGACCACTAAAAATTATTATGTATCAATTTACGATTAACGTAATAGTTTCACACTCCTCTATTTAATTGGCGTATTGTTGTTAACTTTTTACTGAGTTCACAGCCTTGTACTTATCGGTACTTAATGAGAGAAAATGCGCTCACTAATGTCTTTATGAATCATCCGTTCTACTACTTTGAAAATTCGTATTAGTATGTAAACCGTCACGACAACATTGTCAAAACAATTGCACTTTCCAGGTCCTACACTAACTGGCATCGGCCGAAATGGACGTGAATAGATTTCAAAAGTATGTGAGTTTCGCTTTGTTGAGCTCAATACGAAACAATGATCCTTGCTTAGCATCCCGCGACACAAACGAGTAAAATGTGGCTGTTTACGCGGTAGGTAACGAGGAAAATGTGTATTGTGTGGTTGGAACAAAAAAATCGCGGTCTGAAGCACTGCAATAAACGTATTCGCAAATTACGTTGGTAATATGAAAATATTTCAACAATAGGACGCATCCGTAGACCCATTGTTTGTGGAATGCCATTAAAGCAAAATCGATGTGTTCCAAATGAGATACTGGCGAAAATTTTTAATACTTACTTAACAAAGCTTATGGATGATACGATAGAATTTTAATTTACGATCAAGATCTTATTCATCAATGAGTTTACGTAGGACTCTTGCAAATACATATCAATAAATTAACACTTGAACGTCCCTGAACTGGCCCGATCCTATTACTCGGCTATTACAGATATTACGTGCGGAGCACAAAGCAAAGACATCTCTTTTTGGCATCGGACCTTTTTCCGAAAAGAAACCAATCTAGAGCGTATTCCATTCCGATTCATGCTATCTTATTTGGAATTTAAACGCTAACCGATATAATGGGTCCTTTTGTTGGCCTCGACGTGTGCTGGGTTCCAAAATTGAGTGATGGACAGTTAGATAATTTCTTTCTCGGGGTCAGTACCTGCATGCGCGAGTTTTTGTTAGAGCACAGTTACCATTTGCGTACCCGCACCGGCAGCGGACTGCACGCGGTAATGTCTTTTCACATGTAATTGTCTTGTAATGTGTGTATAACTCGGCTAATGGGTCAACGAGTGCGTATTGTGAGACTGTGACTTCCGCTCCTCATGATTATTTATTCGATATAAATACATGTTTGATTTATAACATGTTTCGAGATCGTGACTTGCACGGGGAGAACAGAACGAAGCAGTCGCGGCTTAAATAAATAATAATGTATCAATGTTACGGCGAAATGCAGTACTTATATAAATTCACTAATGTACCTACTAGAAGCTGTACAGTTTTACACATTTCTTATGGTCTATAGAGGAATGTCGAGTAAAACATGGCTGCTGATATTAATTTATAAGACATTCCGTTAGTCAATTTTACATACTTCACCTACTAACGCTTTAAATATTCCACGTTTGCATCTCAAACGAAGCATTAGAAGCATCAATTTAGAATGGTTATTCCTCAAAAAGGTGTGGCGGTTTGAACTCAAATTACAGACGCATTGTTCCTCATTACAGTATTCATTGAGCTCACTTAGCTAGGAAAGTCACGAGCGCTTCTCAAGTCATTCTCGCTAATGACCCGC